GCTTTCTTTTACTTGTTCAGTTTTTTTTTTTCAATATCACTGGCATCAAGATTAGGTTTATGCATTGAGAGTTAATATCATATTCAAGTTGCTCTATTATCACCCTAGGTGCAATGTCTCTAATTGTGCAAACAACCTCTTTCCATTACAGGGGTATGGCTGAATAGATTTGATCCTCCCAGATCCCAGCCATGGAGGATTCATCATTCATAATGGCACCCTTTTAAGGATTAGGCTTTACTTTGAAGCAACAGGCACATGTTTATTTTCAAATAGTGCATTTGTAGGTTATATGAAGTGAAAGTTGTCATTCTTCCCCTGGTAATAAAACTTTTGAAGAATTATGTAGTTTATCTTACCAGGTTTGGTCAAGCTTACATGATTTTTGCATATAAGAAGCTTCATGATGTTAAAAAATTTGACATAGTATCTGATTGGTTGTATATGTTTGGTAGGACTTAGGAGATACTGTTGGGCTTATTAGCGGAACTCTTAAAGATCTGAAGATGAAAAATTAAGTCAAACTTCCAGCATGCACCTCTTTCTTTTACATGAAAAAGAAGTTGAAGTAATTTAATCCCCAGGGATATGTTTAATGAAAGTTTTCAAGAGGGGCTTCAAAGAGCTTCATCCAAGTTATAAGAGCTGGAGAATAGTAGTACAATACTTAAAGGCACAAGGGTTTCTAGAGTTTGTGCCAATAGACCAATAGTGTCCTGGTATGCATATGACTGACTTGAGGGCTATTGTCATCATTTAGTGTAGAAAAACAATTAAAGCTGATGCCATATTACTGCTCAATTTCTATAAAGGAAAGTGGATATTGAAACAAAATATTAGAATGTAGAATTTTTATTATGTGAGACGGATTTTTCTCTCTCATTTGCAGCTGGATTTTATGGTCACTTTCTTTACTGGATATAAACTATATGGAAACAACCTCTTTGCTTTTAGAGCAAGGCTGCAGACATTAATTCTCCTATTTTAGCAAGAACTTTGTTAATCAATTGGCGCTAAATTGAGATTATGGTGTCAGAAATTTCATTGAGAGAGGTTACTTCCTTTATACTAATTCATCATATCCCCTTTTTTCCTCTTTGTGACTGGATCCATTTTTTATTTTTATTTTTATTTTTGTTACTACAACCTTTCTAAGTAGCATGTCTTGTCCAACAGCCCATGTTCTTTTCTGTATCAATAAAGAAGGGAATCAGGTGGACCATTCAAGCCTTTAATTTTACATCTTTGCTAATTAATGAACATTTTCTCCTCTGTTCTGTGAAAGTTGTGGAGGATCTTTCTCTACAAAATACTGGGTATCTTTTCTATAATTAAAGAAAGTTGGAATTCTTGTAGACATTTGCCTTCTTTTTCTATAGTTTTGTCAGAGAATCACTCGAACTATAATTCACTGCAGGTACAATAGCAGGACAGTACTACCTCCGTTGTTGATACAAAAGAATTCAGGATCCAGAAGCAGTGGTCAGAATTGCACTGAACCTCTATTAAACTACAAAGATTCTAGTGAAAATATGGAAGAGACCAAATCCCCAGCTGTGGAACCTCCAGTTCAATGCACCCCACTTCGAGTTATTCCATTGCCTCTTCCAGTTGGAAGCATGCCTCTATGTTCTGGGTATGATACAGCAACACAACACATGATCTATCAGCCATCAGGCCACCATTTTTGGAGTACCAGTTCATCTTCATGGATGGAAGGGATCATACAGACAAACTCATTAAACCAACCGTGCCAAGGGATTCAAAACTCTATGCAAGGTGACCTTCCAGATGGGAATAATTCCAGAAGCTCATCTTATCATTCTGCACAAAATCAAGAACACATGGAACTTGATGAACAGAGGCATGTTTCATCTGTGGCTGGTGAGAGTGTTGGTGGTATTGTCTGTAATGGTGAAGGAAGTCATCTCAACATCAGTGAATGTAGCAGTGTTCCCGATGGAACTACTGGATGCACGTCTACAACAAATACCTTGAGGCCCATGACAGTGAGGCTAACTGATCAGGGGAAATTGACTTGTGAAGGAACGAAGCCAATAAATTGCAGCATGAGCCAAAGAGAAATGGCTTTAAACAAATTTCGACAAAAGAGGAAAGACAGAAGCTTCGAGAAAAAGGTACTCAATTATATTTTAGTGTTTTCAAAAATGTCTCGAAGTTACTTATCAAAATAATGAATGAAAACTTGTTAAGAGAAAAAGGAAGACTTAAATATGGTTTAATTTATTTAGAAAAATCCCATGATAGTCTCTGGCGATATGCTATAGTGAGATTTAGAAGAGACAGATGAAGGTTAATATTACTATGATACTCTAGAGATATGTTATAGTGAGATTTATAAGAGGAAGATTTATGTTGATATTGTAAAGGATATGTATGATAGAGTAATCACTTGTGTTAGAACTCATGTTAGGACTACACTCCATTAGAACTAATGTTAGGACTACAATGTGTATATATTTTGAGTTTTCTATTAGCATATGAGAACATCAAAGATCAGTTTTAAGTTTTTATGATTTTTGCCTTCTAAATTTCACTTACATAGATAAATTTTAAATAAAGACTTAGATTGAGTACATTTTATGTAATTTTAGTAAATATCAAGAGAATAATTTTTTAGGTTATTGTTAAGTTGGGTGAACAAGAAATTATAAAAAATAAAATTAATTATTTAACAAGATGAAAAAATTGATAAGTCAAAGTTGGCTGGTTAAAGTGGAGAGGATCATGGTTAGCACCAGATACTTTTTATATTAAGAGGAAAATGTTATACTCTTGAGATAAGAATGCTGTGTAGAACATAAGAACAGTAAAAAAAATATTTTAATTTATAAACAACTATGTATACATTCAATAGATCAATAAATGATAAAATGAGGGAGGACCTACAGATACTATAGTTCATAGAGGTAAAATAATTAGTTCTATTGATGCAATGAGAGATAGAAGAGATACGAGAAGCTTTTACTAGAAGTTATCAATCTCCTTATTTAACTAAAAATATTATTTTATTCAAGACTCAATAGCGACAAAAGATCCATATAGTGACTCTGAACAGTCAAAACATTCCGGTCTCTGTTCCTATTGTTGTTATAGAACATATGTGATTTTTAGATGGAGACAAAGCAAATTAGATTGCAGTTTTTTGTTCATCTTCATTTGTAGACCATTGACTTCAGTCTATTGATTCTGAGTTTGACAGGTTCGCTATCACAGCAGAAAGTTACTTGCAGAGCAGCGGCCTCGAGTGAAAGGGCAATTTGTTCGTCACGCTAAACTCTACCCTCAACCAACAACACTAGCAGCGGGTGGCCTTCCAAGTCAAAATGTTCCTCAGGATCTGACCAATGTTGCTGCACTAACATGATGTTGTTTCCATAACTCCTCTGTGTAAATTAGATGTCACATCCTATGTGCCTTTTCCCTTGTAAAACTCCTTGATATAACATCAAGGAGGTGGAATAGCTATTGACGAATTTCTTCTTGTGTTTTTCTTAATTTGTATACCTTGACATTGTTGGCATGATGTTTTAGTTGTCCTTCTTTCTCATCTGTTCCTTTGAGATCGTCAATTGTATGTGAGTTTATGCCCTTCTCCTATTTGCTCATCACTTCTATCCGTAGAAGAGGAAGCTATGTGTGGTACATGAATGCAGCTCTTGGCTTGCTTATGCTTGTAATGAATGGATTGCACAACCAGCAAAAGTTAATACATCTTACTCCATTGATTTATTCTCTCAGTGATCAGAGATATATCACAAGTTAAAACATCATATCATCTCATCGAGAGTAATAGAAGAGATTTCAGCATTAGAAGAAATTTAATTTTATTTGTCTGAGTATCAAAACTTTAAAATGAAGAGCATCTGGTTAAGAAGTAGATGAAACAGAGAGGTCATATAGAAACACAATCAAAGTAGATGAAACAGAGAGGAAACCCAAGAACAAAGAAAGAGATCAGAGAACATAAATCACACCATCCTAAAAGAACAATTAGCTCATTCTTTTCCAGTTTGATTTGACTCAATTCAACTCCAACCACCCTGAGGTGAATTTTAGTCAATTAGAAAAGCAGAAAATATAGCTTAAATAGGAAAATGAGACTCTCAAGTCTCAACCACCAATAAGATGTAAACCAAATCCATTTAGAAGGCAAAGAAATTATGGTTTTTCCTTTGAGGAGAAAATATATGAAGATGTAAATTTTTGGTTTAAACCTACATGATTAGAAAACAGAGTTTGGCAGCTACATTTAATAGAACATCAGATAACAAAAACCATGTCTTTCTGACAATGCAAGAGAACAAGACATGTATTTGCTGTCGGTGAACATCCTTCTCTTTTCCCTACAAGACATGCCACATTTTGGAACACATCTAAAGTTCACCAAAATGGAAAAAAGAGAATGTATAGCAAGAATGGAGTAACACAAACAAGCACTACTACAGGATCATGATTTATTCTCAGTTGACAGTATCTTTGATGATATGTTACTGCAAGATAAGGTCAGGAATGACATTCCCTGAGAACAGTGCTGGGATTGGTTGCCACTTTGCCATCCCTCTGTAAGAAAAATATAACAATAAGATCATAGTTTGAATTTCAAAAGAACCACAGGTTTTGAATGGATACCGGGCTTGTAATGCAGTCGAGTTCTTGTACTCGGCCAAGGAGAGGTGAAGTGAAAATAGAGTAGGCGGCACGGGTGTGACAGGGGGATCAAAGAAAGAAAAACTGAAACCATGGTGAATCAAGAGCATCAAATCATGAAAGAGGACAGAAAAAAAGGAAGAAAAAGGATGGAGGGGAAATCAAAAGAGAGAGAAATATATTGCCGGTGTATTAAACAGCATCAGTGTCTAATAAAAACTGTAGGATTTGTGGGAGCAGTTTTACGCTGGTGATGTGTTAGCATCGCAACAATACATTTCCTATAGAGATTCTTGGACACATATCATTACTCACATAACTCTTCACAATTCAATAACAAATACTTTGTAGCATTTATCTTGCAACAAAAACACATGCATCTGACTTCTTTGTTTGTTTCATCCAATAAGTAAATGCAAGGGCCTGTGGCCAATTCACATCTCTCCTAATTGTACCCACCTACATTGCCAAGATTCTTGGCTTCCAGCAACAAATCATGCATCTAATGCTTCACAGCTAATGCCTCTAACATCTTAATAATTATCTTGCGCATGAAAATTTCAAGATGGAAAGTAGACCGCAGAATAACAAATTGATAAATGTAATGGAGCTCAACGAGATACCTCTAATTTCGAATACTGCTTCGTAAATGCCTAGAACCAATACAAGCATGCTGAATGATCACGCAAAATGGCTCAGAAGTGATTCTAAGAAGAACTCAAAGGAAGACTAAGATTTTGGTCCTGCCTTGTCATGCACCAATCTTCAATGTATTGTTTGCTCTTAGGATAAAAGCAAGTCACTTCTGGATTTCCAAGTATTTCGAGAATGCTTGTAGCCTCACCAAGAAGAAAAGCAGCCTCCCTCACTCGCTTTTCCCTCACTTCAACTGAGCTACAAATGCATTCCATGTAAATGACTCTTGGTATATTGGTGAGGCAAGCACAGAATATGTCAGAAATAATGGTCTGTAACCACAGAAATAACTTGTCATCCGTCCCGAATTTGCCATCATACTCTTGCAAGATAGTACTGCTCACTCTGTACATAGAATTGGATGCAAAGACGTCTGCAGGCCACTCCAGCGGGCTCCTCCTATCTTCAGTACCATCTCTCATTTTTTGCTCAAAGCTGCTAACACATTCTCTGCTAATTTCTCCTAGCTTTTCGATGATCTTCTTACCACTCTTTTCCTCGGAGACTAACTCGTGGAGATCCTTGTCCAGCCACTTATCATACAGATCTACTCCCAGCCAGAGGTTATCTCCTGCTTTCCTCATGTTATGCAGCCCTTTCGTGTCCAGATGCTCGTCAACGAGCCTGACGTATCTGAGGCCTTCGTTCACTGCACACCGGAGTGACTTGACCAAATCAGGTTTGATGTAAGGAAGAGCGACCGCAACCGTAGTGAGGGTCACCAAAGGCAGCTCCCAACAATTAGGAGGTTCTTCGGTGACCAAGGAGGGAATGCTCCTACTGTCAAATTCACAAACACCTTGAAATCCTTGGGAGAAAGTAGCGTGGTTGCTGATCAACTGAATCAGATGAGCAGGTTGGTTCTTAGTGCCCTTCCGAATCCATCGTTCCGTGTCCTCACGTTCGCTCCTCATCATCAAGTTCACCAAATGCTCCTCCCCTTCCAGATGCAGCACAAAGTTGCTCAGATGTTCCAAACCTGAAGGAGTCCTGCTCGCACCACTGGCAGTGGACAAGGAACTCGGAATGGACACTAAGCCCCATCTCAGCGACCAACATTTGCAGCAGCGACGGATCCAGCTCGTGGGCAACACGGACGCCAACCGCACCACCTTGCAGATCACTACCACCACAATCTGAGCTCTAGTCAGCAAGACCAGGACGACATTCTTGAGCTCGTGTACCATCTTCCTGCTCCGATGGCTGCCGTCGACCAGGAACGTCGAGGAGGCATCTTGCTTCCACTCGATTAGCCTCTGGATCCAGTACCTTTCCACTCTGACCTCATCCCTACAGCTCCATCTCCGCTGGGAGGGCCCTCGGAAGCTGACGGCGTTAAACCATCTCCAAGCCGGGGCAATAGTGCCCACCACCACGGCGACCACCTGAGAGAAGAACACGACCGTGGTTGACCACTGGTAATCCGACGTCCCACTGCAGAAGCTCAAGCCATGGGGGTCCTTGATTACGGACCTCATGGAAGCCTCGACGAGGATGAGGCAAGTGAGGAGGCCAAAGGCCCCCGAGGCGGTGCAGGTGGCGGTGCGGCCGAGCACGTACTGCGGGCTGGAAGTGTGCGCCATCAACCAGTAGCGCTTCACAGACTCTCTGAGCGAGTTGATGTCGAAATTGTTGCCGCCGTCGGGGTCGGAGGCCGAACCGAACTTGTCATCGAACTGCTCCTCGAGCAGCTGCTTCGTGGTCGGCACGGCGAGGGCGGAGGAGCAGAGAATTATCACAAGGGCGAGGGCGAGAATGAGGACGGCGAGATGCTCGGGGACGAAGGTGTAGATGACGCCGGTGGCGATCTGGATGGAGACGTTGGCGGCGACAGTGATGACCAGGATGGCAAGCGCGATGAGATCGGCCGCGGCGGAGGCGGCGTCGGGGGCGGAGGCGAGGGAGGGGAGCAGGTTGGCGGTGGCGGTGGCGACGAGGGCAGAGCCACTGAGCTTGGCGAGCTGGTCAGGGAGGGAGGGCATGGGGGAGGAGAGGTCGAGGGGGAGCTTTGTGGCGACGGAGAGGAGGGTGAGGGTGGTGGCGTTGAGGGAGAAGAGGAAAGAGGGGAACCAGAGCTGGCGGCGGCGGAGGGCGGAGATGGCGTCGCTGGCCATGGCCAGGGCGCAAGCGGCGGAGGCCGCGGCCGCGTAGAGTCCGACCCATGGTAGCGGCCCGCTGAAGCCGGACGCGTCCAGGGATTGGGCGCCCCCTTGTGCGCATCCGTGTCGATGCATTTAGAGCAACACGGCTTCTTCTCCGTTCACGTTCTTTGGGCTAATCAAAGGTTTATTACATATGCTGCCCTTCCCTCATGGTTCGGTCATGTCGGGTATCTTCCGTGCTTATCTACACGTGGATTAATGAGGTATCTAATTAACAATGAACATAACTAACACAATAATTGGCGTCACAAATAATTATATTTATCATATGTGAATATAATATAATATAATAAAAACACATCCTCGTGATTCGTTAATTTCATTAACCCTTTCACAAAGGTTACAACCTCCTAACATAATTTATATATTTCCACTACTTTCACCAATTTATGGAATCATCAATTAAGGATAAACATGCAATAAAAAAATTGTCAAGAAATTAATTAAAAACTACTTATTAATGTAATTCAAGATATTATTTTCTTTGAAAAAGAAACCTATTTATTCATTAAATAAATGTGATATTAAATTGAAAGGTACTTACTTCTTCACCTCCACTGACGAGAGAAAATGTGAACATCTCATGCAAAATAATGTGTAGTTGAGCCATCATTTTCAAGATCATCTCCTTTAGATTCTTTATAAGAGCTTGAGCTTTCATTGATGGACGTTTTGATGCTAAGGTCTTTCCTTTTTTTCGTTTTAAATTACATTTTATTTTTGAGATCTTTCTTTTAGAAAAAAATAATTATTTATGGTTTTTTTTCTAAAGACTTATGATGATAGGAAAATGTTCAGTCATCTTATACTTGAAGGTTTTAAGAAAAAATATGCAAGCAACTTGAACTTACTAAGGGCATAAGTAAAAGAAAAATATTCTACTAATTTCGTATAATATTTTTTTGGACCAACCTCTTATAAAGTCAATCAATTTATTATTATTAAGGTCAATTATTGTTCATCAATAATTTTATTTTTATCTTAATCCTAACTTGAACATCAAAGAGATCGAACCAGATATTCCATCAAATTTTGATCTTTTTGTAACTCGACTTTTCGACGAATTCTCGAATCATCTTCTTGAATCATCTTTTTGTAACTCAAGACAAAGAAACCATGGAGCAAGTTCTTGCTGAGGGATCTTGAATTGCTTAACCTTACTTATAACAAGGAGTCAATTCTTGTCATATTGTAATCAAATGTTGAGGTGAACAAGAAAAGTCATGGAGCAAGCTCTTGCTGAGGGATCTCTTAGGTCCCATGGGCCTCGTTGGAAACCCAAGGCTAATAACCAATATATTTGGGTTTCTTTCGGTGTGAGTGACCATTTGAATGAGTCTTCTGTGATTCCCTTGCTCATCGTTCCTCCATCCATTCCCTCCCTAAACATAGACACACCCTCGACACCACCCATCTCCTCCTCCTCTCTCTCTTGCCTCCTACTCTATAAATACAGCCTTCTACGTATTTCCTCCTCGCCATTCCTCCGAGCTCGGCAACAACTACTCCTCCTGCCTCCACAGCCAGAAGAAACCATGGGCGGCTGTGCGAGTAAACCCAAGACCACCGACGGCCAGGCCCCTGAGGTGCCGCCACCAGTAGTCGTTGCCTCAGCCCCGGCCGACGTTACCTCCACCCCCGCCGAGGCCACCGAGGTACGTATAAGAACAGGCGGTTCTCCTTCACTACTCTTCGTTCCATATATAATCTGTGAGCTGCGTTCAGGCCGTGGTCGAGTCCAACGAGAACGCTGAGGAGAGCACGGAGGAACCATCGAGCGAGGCGAAGCCCGAAGAGGCTACTGCGCCTATTGCAGCAGGAGGCAATCACACGGCCGAGGAGGCGAAGAGCACGGAGGAAGCGGCCACTGGGACTGCATAGAAGCCATACAACTCTTTCTAACGTCTGCATGGCGATGTACTATTCATGTACGTGTCGTCGTGTGGATGCATCAAAGCTTTATGTTCGTCACCTGTCATTTAGTGTGATAAATGCGAAATAAATTGTACGAAGCTATTATTATTTATTTTCTGTCTTATATATCGAGTTCGTGGGATTCATGCAGCGTGGTTTGGGCCGCACAATGAAGGCTGCGCTGGGCTGCAGTGACATTAAGTTTTTAACATATAGTATCATTATTTTCATCTGATCATTAAGTTTTTAACATATAATTCACAGATTTGTAATATACAATTTCAGATAAATCTAATGGAGATAAAAAAAAAGAGAGTAAAAACATAAGAATAGATAAAGATAATATGAGATGAGATGAGATTTCGAACCCATCAACCTTTCTTAAGGTTAGATTCTATTTAGCATTAATTTATATTCCTGGTTTTAACAGTGTCACTTAGATACTGCATGGATGAGAGAGTACAAAAAATAGATCAAAGATATTAACTTAATATGTAGGGTTTCAGCAGACACCATCTGAAATAAAGAGATGATGCTCGATGTTAACATGTGTACTTAGAAATTACTTTGAAGTACCTTCTGCTGTACAGGCATGGGTACATAGGCTTGTTTTTAGGAATCTCCAACAGAGGAAACCATAAAGAAGCCCGATTTGTACATGATGCTATTAACATCTGTATAGAGTTCTGAGTCAGATTCCTTTTTCCATTCCACAACAAAATGTATACTCCTGTTCTTGGATTCAATGCGCCTTCTATTGTTCTCCTTCTTCCTGATCTATAGGTCTCTTTGACTCTCCAGTACCACAAGTGTAGATGGAAAGGTCAATGATCATAAAGCTCACAGGATATTGCAGGACGCATAATTGGCCCTCCTCAGTTCTTTCAAATGATTTCTTCCCCACTCTCTCTCTCTCTCTCTCTCTCTCTAGT